ACAGTGTCATGCCACTTCTCCGGTTGCAAGTCCGGCACCGTGTCAGGCCACACCTCCTGCTTCAAGTCCGGCACATCGTCAGGCCACTTCTCCAGGTCCAACTCCTCGTCAGCCGTCTCCGCCGTCTCAGCAATCGCAGAAGAGACATCCCGCAGCTTTGATGCGTAGCGGTACGAGTCGAGGTAGTTCAGGAAGTACAGGCAAAGGCAAGCGATATAAATATGGTCCAAGCCTCACTCCTCTTCCTCAGAGGCCTTACGACATGACTAAGGAGCAAAACACAGCCATAGTGCAAGCCCAAGTGGACGCCCATTTTGGAGCGAAACCGGCACCGCCGCCAAAGGAGAAAGTGCCTGAGAAAGTAATTGACCACTTCATTCGTATGGCTAGAGAACCAGCTCCCAAGCCTGTTGACTCGGACTATGAGCGCCTAATCAGGAAGGCACATCAAGCACGACTACAGAAGGAAGCGAGCTCAAGCTCGAGCCAACAAGCAGCTGGCAAAAAATGCGGGAAAACCGTTCCCCAGTTGGGAGAACAGGCGGCGCAAGCGACCCCCCCGCTTGTTGTGCCAACAACACATGAGAGGAGTAGTACGCGCGCCAAATATTATTGTGGGCAAACCGTTAGCGTTCCCCAGCATGGCGATGTGGTAATAACAGAGGATCATATAATGCAGGCTCAAATGCTCAATATCTCTGTTGGACAACTCCTCGAAATCGAGCCCATGCCTACGCTTAAAGAATCGGAAATAGCATCGCAATATGTCCGAGGCAATCCTTTGGTCCATCAAGACAAGGTCAAGGACCTCCCAACGAGAATGTATTAATTGCATCAATGGTACATGAACATTACCAAGATTTCCAATCGAGATTCCCTCATGGTTAATGTCAAGCATGAGCATTATTACCATGAGAAAGCTCTGACCATTGAGTATCCAGAACTATTTCAGTTATTTAATCAAGACGCACTCGACAAGTCTATCGTCAGTTGCTATTGTCTGAAGTGATTTCTTTCTGTAATTTAAGTCTCAAACTAGTTATGTAGTGATAATTTTGATCAATTATTACATGTAATTATCCTCACTATATTCTTTTTCTGTGGTATTATATGCAGGATGAAGATGTATGAAATGAAAAAAGCTGGACGCTATGGCGTTGGGTTCATTGACCCAAATACCATTAATCAGGACATATGGGAGATTGAACATTGTCAAGCTGCTGTAGAGGAAAGCATGCTAGAGTTCTTGAAGCGCCTTAATACCAATGAAGATATACTACTTCCTTACAACTTCCCGTGAGTCACACTGTGTTGTACTACAAATTCTGTTTTTGCTTACTAGCTAGCTAGATGTTAATAATTAAGTGTATACGGTTTACGATAGTTGATTAATTTTATGCACATGCCCGCTTAATTAAGACATGCAAACGTGTGCGTATGCAGTTGGCACTGAGTCTTGTTAGACATTAAAGTTGAGGAAGGAAAAGTTGAATTACTGGACTCACTAACTAAAGAAGATAAAGACTACACCATCGTGAAGGGGATAGTCAACAGGTAATTTCAATCATTATTAACTATTAGTTCCTGATGTGAACTATTTAATAACCCTTTTATTAATTTTCTTTGCCGGCGGGCAGGGCATGGGCAAAGTTCATCAAGGTGACTCCAGGCACGTGGCCAAAAAAGTTGTTTTGGCATCGATCCAAGGTAAGTAATTAAGTAGTACCAGCTAGCTACCATCTCTTTAATTCTTGTTTCAATATAATTAATTAATTATTATGCTTGATTAATCATTATCTGATTAAATTCCATTCTCGTAAAGGCCCTGAGGCAGACGAAAGGGAATAATCTGTGTGCATACTACGTTTGCGAGAACATTCGCATGATGGCGTTCGAAAGGAGCAGATCTGATAAACAGGACTGGGTACGTTTTTGTCAGAACACTATTCACACCATTATCGATATCTAGTCACACAACTAACACACATGCATATTGATCTCCTTCTTAACAGTTCAGATCGGTGCGGGATAAGCTCCTACCATTGGACCGCATACAAGCACTTCAAGAGGAAATAGCCGGATTTTTGCTCGACCGGGTCATAGATCCGAAAGGAGAATACTATTACTCGCTACCGCCCCCATGAACCACTTGTCATCGTGCTCCGAAGGCACCAAGGCAACATGTAGGAGAAATTGTATATGTATATACATGTGTATGTGTGAATAGTTAATGGTGTTGGCTGTGAGACATAAGATGATATTATATATGCAGTTCTACGTATGAGAAAATCTATTTAATATATATGCATAACGTGTACAATTTGTAGTATTGTGAAATACCAGGAAACAAAAAAGAATTAAATGGAAAATAAAGCCAAATTCAAAACACAAAATTAAAGCAAAAATAAATAAAAAACACCCAAACATTTAGTACCGATTGATGTTACCAACCGATACTAATGTCCTACACGCACACGGGTCTGGCTCGTGCCACGTGTTTGCACACTTTAGCGCCGGTTCGTGACGAACCAGTACTAAAGGGGGGGGGGGCTTTAGTCCCCACTCTTTAGTGTCGGTTCGCCAACCGGCACTAAAGGCCGTCACGAACCGGCACTAAAGCCCGGTTCTGCACTAGTGCAAGCTCGACCTTGCAACTATTTTGTCAACAGTCATCAGTACAACATCGGGTACTATCTTGTAGATGACATCTACCCTCATGGGCCATATTTGTGAAGACAATTCAACAATCGCAAGGCAGCAAGAGAACTCACTTTGCAACATGCCAATAAGTCGCCAGAAAGAGTGTCGAGATAGCTTTTGGGGGTGCTGCAACGCTTTGTTATTAACCGTGATTTTGTAGCACATTGGGACAAAATATACTGTTGGTTGTCGCAAATCATGACATCATGTGTAATTTTGTATTATGGTATACATTGTGAGAATTAACTATGATGTGATGTCATGTTGATGATGTGGCAAACACACATTACTTACCATGTGGATGGGTTGCATGTATATGAAAAATAAACAGTGTGGTGGAGCATGCAAGTGAAATATAGGAAAAAGAAAACAATTAATGAGGTAGCATCTATGTTGAGATGGCATGTATGCATATTAAGAGAAATATAAGTAGTGGGTGGGTTGCCATCGTTAACAATAGTGGTAGGAAGAAATGACCACTTACCAAGTTGCTCCCGTCCCAGAGGTTATTGGCCGTTGTGTCGGCGGCAACATCACCAAAGGAACAGGCCTTCAAGTACGTGTCGGTGCAACAGCTTGGCATGCCGATCAAGAAGACGGAACCAAATCTGTGACAAAGGCGCCACCATGAAGCTAAAGAAGAGGAGGAAGTACCGCACAACGAAGGCAGAAGGCAACACATCACGGCACATGCATTACTTGCCATGTAGATGGGTTGCACTTCCATCGAAAAAGAAATCCTATACGACCTAGGTCGTACTCCCTCGTCGTGAGATCACCTCCCGCGACCGGCACGTGGCAATTCGAATCTCAAAGCAACCTATTCTCGATTCCCCTTTCTTTCTCCAGCACCTCCGCGATTCTCGTGGCACCGGCGCTTCATGATCCCTTCAATTCTCTCTCCTTCTCGTCTCTGAAGACGGCAAGAGAGCCTCCTGGCTACTCCGGCATCAGCTCCTCCTGAATCTTGCAGGTTGAGGCGACCAATCCCCATGGTGCCGGTGGATGGCCTGAACAAAGGCGAGGAGCAGCAGCGATGACGATATATCCATTGTGCAACCGCGGCCTGTGCCTTCTCGCTTATTTACGGCAGCGGCGAGTTTAGGGAGCCGCAGCCTGCGCCCTCTTACTAATTTACCTCCAGCCAGAGCTCAGCGCAATGGCTCGTCTTATCTAGGACCAGCACCGATGGGGCATAGCAGGTTCAAGCAGTGGCGCCCTTTGTGGAGGCTAGTTGCAAAAAATTCTGAAGCGACATTGTCGCGAGGAGCACGAAGACTGCTGGAGAAGAAAGGGGAATCAGAAAATATCGGTCTAGCTACTTTGAGATTCGAATTGCCAGCTCTCAGCCCCAGGAGGTGGTCTCAGGACGGAAGATGTACGACCCAGGTCGTATAAGATTTTTTTTTCGCGGGAGGGTGAGCGTTGAGGAGAAACCAACCGCACAAGAAAACCCACCGCCACGTGTGCCTTGTACGACCGGCTTGACAAAACATGCTTATCAAAAATGGTAAAGTGTGGCATAAAGTTGAAAAAATTGTTGATACGGAGTAATCCCTATAAAAATAACAAAATAGAAGGTAAAAAGTGAAATTGACTCTTCTTATTGTGTCTGCAGCAAAACAACCAATAATTACATCATGGGGAATATTCTTCCTCAGGACCTCAGTACTCCCCAGTACCCAATGATAAACCAATATCAAACAAAAATAGTACCACACAACAAACATATTTCTGTGTTCAAATTGTTGGATCAACCGGAGGAGGAAGAAGACTCACACGAACACACACTGGACACAAGAACACACAAACTTTTCTGGCAACGCACTTCTGCCTTTTCTCTTGTTCTTTTTCCACACACACGCGGCTGATTACAAAGTCCTTCAATAGAGACACATACGTACTACTCCCTGCTACGTACTGCTTGATCCGCTATTTTCTCTCCACTAGCCGGTAGCATGGCCACGAGTAAACACCTCTTTGACACGGCCACACGATTCAGCCGGAGTCACGTTTATCTACTAATTACTCGGTCCAAAGCCACTATTGGCTATACAGCACGTCCATGCAACGGAAATACGCGTAACTAACCTGATGGAACGCCCACGCATGCATCCATTCTCTACTGACTTCCTCTCAACTAACTAACTCACTCTATCGTCCAGCTTTGCACCGTGTACGTGATCACAACTTGACGTACACAACCTGCCACAGCTTGAACTGAATGCATGAACGAAACTAATGCGACGAAATAAACATAATGAATACCTAGACAACAAGGTAAACTCCATCACAAATAAAAAAAAACATATTTCTGAATCACCGGGAAGCAAGCGCTCCAGTCCAGTAGCCGAGACGCTCGCACGGCCGACACGGCGTACACCGCAGCGACCGCGAGCGCCAACACCATACCCGCCGGGCCATGGAGCGACGAGCCGCCGCTCCCCTGCAGATACGCCGACGGCGTCGTCTTCGATCCCAAGCCGGCCGGTGTCTCTACGGCCGGGGTGGTCGGCGTGTTGGCACTGGCACCAGGAGCACTGCCACCACCAGCTGCAAGCAAAAAAGACGTCTCGTGTCAGTAACCCAAGAAGCGATAACAACATTATTATACATGCAGTGCAGCTCTTGACTCTTGTAACTCGTAAAATGGTATACTGTCGAACACTTACCGCCGTTGCACTTGCTCGCCGGCGGGGTCTGCACGTTGCAGGCATTGGGGAGCTCGAGCGCGCGGGTCTTGTTGATGGTGATGCCACCGAGCGACGACGAGTCACCGCCGAGCGCGCTGCAAAGGCACTGCAGCTGGGACTGCACCACGGAGGCGAGCTGCGAGCAGCAAGACTTGGTCGGGGCCGTGCCGCTGCCGCTGATGTAGTTCATGCATGGGTACAGGCCGATCAGCGCAGAGGTGCACCCGGACTGCGCCGACGCCGACGCCACCAGCAGTGCCAGTGCCACCGCCGCAGCCAGGAGGACGCTGCTGCTGCTGGACATGGCGGACACCGCTCTCGCTCTTGCCGCCATTGATGGACGTTTCTTCCCCTTTGTTTGCTAGTGAAAGCAAGAGGCTTTTTCTTAGGTGGGGGGTGCTTGGAGCTAGATGCTGCTTGCTTAAGGTGATTATACTCTGTGTATATTTGTGCTTTTGACCCTCCAGTTGTGTGACTTTATATAAACGGTTTTTGTTGGGGCGGTGGAATTAGTTGGGCATGTTGGTGAGCTACATGTCCCTACTTCCTACTCTTGGCACGAAATTATTTATTTCTCTGAGTTCCAGCAGTAGTCGTAATAGTATTCACTTCAGAATAATATTATTCATGTGGTTGCTAAAATAGTTGGTGTTAGTACTTAGTAGCTGAACAAGGTGTTGGTCAACGCTGTCTTAGATGATGCCAACAACTGTATTGAGTGTCACGGTATGGATTTTGTTAGTTGTCTCTTGTAAAAATGGATCCTGAAAAGGACAGTAACTTGCTTTGTCATCGCCACACAAGTAAGCAAAGGATCTGATACTGTATAGATACTTTGAGGCCGGAAATCCAATTTGGCTCTTGGGAGCACGTGCTCCTGCGTTTGAAAAATAATTTTTGAGATGTCAAAAAAATCATATTTTTTTTCATGTATTTATAGTCATATCCAAATGCTACTTGAAAAGATTTAGGCAAAAAGGATAAACATTTTGGCTTGTGAAAAAAACAAATTTCAATACCAAATGTTACCTCAAAATGTCGTCCCAAATTTGTTTTTTCACCGCCGAAACACTGCTGCTCCATTTCGAATGAAAATTGTCAAGCATGCTTGCGACACTAACATGAATTTCCACAAAAAAAATCAAAAAGTGAAAACATGTTACCACTTTTTTGTGGTACCGTTCATCCGGCAGCAAATGCTCCCAGGAGACAAAACGCCCCTCCCCTTGACAGGATTTTTTTTTTTTGAAATTGTAAGCAGGATTAACTTCTTTTTATAAAGGATGCTTTTATAATTAAAATTTAGCATCGAACAGATACAAAATATGATGAGTGACACCTGGCCTCTGCATAGTTAAGATGCACATAACCCAAACTAATTGTCCTACACTAGTAAAAAGCGACATATTGACAACTGCAAAGTCATATAGAACCGATACTATGCTATGTCGGAGGATGTGGTGGGCTGATCCAGAGATTGTGTTGTCATGCATGTTGGGTAAAAACCTTCCTAGCCATCCACTCGAATCGTATACCCACCGCCCAATAACAGGTTGGTACTCCGATCGATGTAGCGTAGACCAACATGCGCAGCCAATGTCTGCGAGATGTACGACCGATTGACCTCTTTCTTTTTTTCCATTTTTCTCAATTACACATTGAATTAGGTCATTGGAAAATGCAGCGTCTAGATGAAGAGGCTATTAGAAAAAAATTGATGACTCGTCAGAGTAGGAGGAAAAAGAAGTTGATGATGACTTTTAGACGGTATTGGTCATGATAATGCAAGAGGAAGAGGGAAAGAAGAAATGACTTGGCTCTCAATTCGGCCCTTGTCGCATCTATCGCAATAGGGCAGAATGACGTCTCAAAAATTTCAGAGATTACTTTGTGGAGAATTTGGTCTATTTGAAAAACCTTTTCAGGCGGCGATTCTGGATGCACATTGATATATTTGTGCGTGTTTCACAAGATGTGGAGAGGAATAATCCTTGGTTCATGTTGCAAAGAGAAATAAGTGCATATCCCTTCATGAAGTGTACCACGATAACTTGAGTGCTTGTATATGGAGTGGCCGCCGACATTATTGATGAGTACATTCGCATTGGGCAAGATGCCATCCTCAAATGTGTGAACTAACCAGAGTACTTGAGATTACAAAATGATGAAGACATTGTGAGTTATCTCTATAGGTGAAACAATAGAATGTGCGCGGATGCTTGGATACATTATTTTATGCATTGGACATAAAGAATTGTGTCATGCCACATGGAAAGGGTAGTATAGAGGGTACTTTCATCATCAAACCATCATTTCTCGAAGCAATTGCATCAGAGGATTTATGGATTTAGCATCCATACCTTGGGATCCCCGGCTCTCATAAGGACCTCAATGTCTTGCAGAGTCTCTACTATTTGCGAGGCTTGCTGTCAGCCAAGCTCGATCTTGCAACTATGTTGTCAATGGTCACCAGTACAACATAGGGTACTATTTTGTAGACGACATCTATCCTCATGGGCCATATTTGTGAAGACAATTCACCAACCGAAAGGCAACAAGAGATCTCACTTTGCAACATGCCAAGAAGTCGCGAGAAAGGGTGTCGAGATAGCTTTTGGGGTGCTGCAATGCTTTGTTATTAACCATGACTTTGTTGCACACTGGGACAAAATATATTGTTGGTTGCGACAGATCATGAGAACATGTGTAATCCTGTACTATGGTATACATTGTGAGAATTAAATATGATGAGATGTCATGTTGATGATGTGGAAAACATGCATTACTTGCCATGTGGACGGGTTGCATGTATATGAGAAATAAAACAATTAATGAGGTAGCATCTATGTCGAGGTGACATTTGTGCATATTGAGAGAAATATAAGTAGTGGGTGGCTTGCCATCGTTAACATAGTGGCGGTAAGAAATGGCCACTCAACAAGTTGCTCCTGTCCTACCCCGCAAAAAAAAAAGTTGCTCCTGTCCTCAAGGTTGTCGGCCATCGTGTCGGCGGCAACATTACCAAGGAACAGGCCTTCAAGTACGTGCCGGTGCAACAGCTTGGCATGCCGATCAAGAAGATGGAACCAAATGTGTGCCAAAGGCGCCGCCATGAAGGTAAAGAAGCATAGGAAGTACGGCACAATGAGGGCAGAAGGCAACGCAGCCCCGGCACATGCATCACTTGCCATGTGGATGGGTTGCACTTTGGACACTGCACCACTACCATGTACTGCAAGACAGAGACGCGCTGTATGACCGGGCATGCGTGGAGGACGAACCGGGCGGGAGGGCGAGTGCTAAGGAGAAACCAACCGCACAAGAAAACCACACCGCCATATGATCGGCTTCACAAAACATGCTTATAAAAAAAGGTAAAGTGTGGCATAAAGTTTGGTCAAAAGGGGTAAAATGGAAAAAATCGTATAAACAGGGTAATCCATATAAAAATGACAAAATCAAGGTTAAAAGTGAAATAGACTCTTCTTATTGTGTCTGCAGCGAAACGAACCAATAATTACATCATGTGGAATATTCTTCCTCAGCACTCCCCCCATTGCTCCATGCTAAACCAATAGGAAACCCAAATAGTACCACACAACAAGCATATTTCTGAATCACCGGGCCAGCAAGCGTTCCAGTCCAGTAACCGAGACGCTCACACGGCCGACACGGCGTAGACCGCAGCGATCGCGAGCGCCAACACCATACCCGCCGGGCCATGGAGCGACGAGCCTCCGCTCCCCTGCAGATACGCCGACGGCGTCGTCTTCGATCCCAAACCGGCCGGGGTGGTCGGTGTGTTGGCACTGGCGCCGGGAGCACTGCCACCACCAGCTGCAAGCCAAAAAGACGGCTCGTGTCAGCAACCCAAGAACCTATAACACATTATTATACGTGCAGTGCAGCTCTTGACTCTTGTAACTCGTAAAATACTACTGTCGAGCACTTACCGCCGTCGCACTTGCTCGCCGGCGGGGTCTGCACGTTGCAGGCGTTGGGCAGCTCGAGCGCGCGGGTCTTGTTGATGGTGACGCCGCCGAGCGACGACGAGTCACCGCCAAGCGCGCTGCAAAGGCACTGCGGCTGGGACTGCACCACAGAGGCGAGCTGCGAACAGCAGGACTTGGTCGGCGCCGTGCCGCTGCCGCTGATGTAGTTCATGCACGGGTACAGGCCGATCAGCACAGACGTGCACCCGGACTGCGCCGTCGCCGACGCCACCAGCAGCGCCAGTGCCACCGCCGCGGCCAGGAGGACGCTGCTGCTGCTGGACATGGCGGCCACCGCTCTCGCTCTTGCCGCCATTGATGGATGTTTTTCCCCCTTGCTTTTCTAGCAAAAGATAGTTGCTTTTCTTGGGTCGGATGGAGGCTTGGAGCTGGCTAGTTGCTGCTTGCTTGCTTGCCTTGTGTGTGTGCTTTTGGAATTCGAGTACGCGTGTGTTATTATAGGAGTGGGTTTTGTTGGGGAAGGTGGTATTAGTTGGGTATGTTGGTGAGCTGCATGTTCCTACTTCCCACTCTTGGAACGATATGATTTCTGACTCTGAAATCCTGGAGTTGTCATGGACATTTTACTTCAGAAAATATATGGGTGTGGTTGCTGAAGAGGTTGGTGTTGAGCGTTGAACAAGTGATTGCCCATCTTCTTTTGTTTTTTCTCTCGAATACGCACAAAAGTGCGTATCATTCATTATAGAAGGGTGGGAAGACTCCGAAAATCCACAAGCCCATCTTCTTTTATTGATTGCAAATTTGGTGACGATCTTTTGCATGGAATTGCCGCACAAGTGATTGCTTCATACTAACAATGATCGACAATCACCACATTACCACATGACGATCAGATATTGCTTGGGTTTACCTTGTAGGATATCTTTGTTGTTCTTTCATGGAAGATGATCGTGTTTTGTTCAAAGTGCTATTTGTAGGTAAACTATAAAAACATTGTTTGAAATTAGTGCCTTGTCATGAAGAACAAGTCATATGGACAATTTCAATGTACTTGTGTGCCTGCAGCGTGCAGCAGCAGCGACCGGCAAGATGTAAGGTGTGGTCGTCAGGACCATGCATTGTACGTTATTCGCACTAGAGCCTCCGATATGCAAGGGGGTGGCCCTGGGCTTGGTGTTTACTCATAATGTTCTGTATCCCCTTCACGCTAATACAACATCCTTTTTTGGAAAAAGATAGCTAGTTAGGAAGTGCTCCAGTAACTAGATGTGTCATCCTGACATGCTACCAGTCAATCTGGTACTCCATATCTTCGGGTAGTGGATTCCGGTAGACCTTGCCGCGGGCGTGGAGGAGGGACATGGGCGGTGAGTGGTGGTGGCAGATTTCGGCGTGGGAAGGCGGAGCTGGCATTGGCACGACTGCCCGGCGGCCGGAGTTGTGGGCCGCCATGAGCGGTCCCCTCTTGATGGGGTGGCACTTCCCTCATCCGGGTTCGTGTGTCGGCAGTGGGCCGATGACACGAACTGGCCGCTAGGTATGTCCTCGTGCCTGAGGTTGGTGCTCCCTGTGTGAGGTTCGGCGCGTTGTCGCCTTGGAGTCGGGCATCTCGGCTCTGAGTCACCACCGGTCAAGCCAGGGTGGGAGCTTGTGGATCGGTTGGGGAGTTGTCTTCTAGTTGTAGCGTCGGTGTCAGTCCGTGGATGTGTGGACGGGGCAACATTGTGCCATTTTTCAGACCGGTGCCTTTGGTTGCGGACATGGTGTCGTCTGAGATATTCTCAACAATGGCCGTCGGTAGTCACTTGGCTACCCCCCCTCCCGGTCCACCGGGACTGGATGGGACTGTAGGCATGGGCGCTCCTACGGTGGTGGTGCCAACCCTGGCTCGGTGACATATGTCAGGCTTTACCTGCCATGGTTTTCTGCATTGTGAAGTGGGCGGTTGGTGTTGTCTCAAGGCTTGGCGAGCTCTATGGATGCGGTGATGGCTACATCTCTTGGCCATGTGGGCGGCGAGAGATATGGCAGTGGGTGGCTCGGGCGTGCTCTAGCTATGGAGGCGCCCCGATATAGATCTGGGATCTATGCTCGTTGCGCTTGTCCTGGTGTCCTACCGACACCGAGGAGCGACCGAGTGAAAGCTCCACGATTTGTGACGACTACGACGACGCTCGCGAGCACCGTTTTATTCTTGAAGATATCTGATGTCTACTACACAATCTTCTTCTTGTAGACGTTGTTGGGCCTCCAAGTGCAGAGGTTCGTAGGACAGTAGCAAATTTCCCTCAAGTGGATGACCTAAGGTTTATCAATCCGTGAGAGGTGTAGGATGAAGATGGTCTCTCTCAAACAATCCTGCAACCAAATAACAAAGAGTCTCTTGTGTCCCCAACACACCCAATACAACGGTAAATTGTATAGGTGCACTAGTTCGGCGAAGAGATGGTGATACAAGTGCAATATGGATGGTAGATATGAGTATTTGTAATCTGAAAATATAAAAACAGCAAGGTAACTAATGATAAAAGTGAGCGTAAATAGTATTGCAATGGTAGGAAACAAGGCCTAAGGTTCAAACTTTCACTAGTGCAAGTTCTCTCAACAATAATAACATAACTAGATCATGTAACTATCCCTCAACATGCAACAAAGAGTCACTCCAAAGCAACTAATAGCGGAGAACAAACAAAGAGATTATGGTAGGGTACGAAACCACCTCAAAGTTATCCTTTCTGCTCGATCTATTCAAGAGTCCGTAGTAAAATAACACGAAGCTATTCTTTCCGTTCAATCTATCATAGAGTTCATACTAGAATAACACCTTAAGACACAAATCAACCAAAACCCTAATGTCACCTAGATACTCCATTGTCACCTCAAGTATCCGTGGGCATGATTATACGATATGCATCACACAATCTCAGATTCATCTATTCAGCCAACACAAAGTACTTCAAAGAGTGCCCCAAAGTTTCTACCGGAGAGTCAAGACGAAAATGTGTGCCAACCCCTATGCATAAGTTCACAAGGTCACTGAACCCGCAAGTTGATCACCAAAACATACATCAAGTGGATCACGTGAATATCCCATTGTCACCACAGATAAGCACGGCAAGACATACATCAAGTGTTCTCAAATCCTTAAAGACTCAATCCGATAAGATAACTTCAAAGGGAAAACTCAATCCATTACAAGAGAGTAGAGGGGGAGAAACATCATAAGATCCAACTATAATAGAAAAGCTCGCGATACATCAAGATCGTGCCATAGAGAGAACACGAGAGGGAATACGAGAGAGAGAGAGAGATCAAACACATAGCTACTGGTACATACCCTCAGCCTCGAGGGTGAACTACTCCCTCCTCGTCATGGAGAGCGCTGGGATGATGAAGATGGCCACCGGTGAGGGATCCCCCCTCCGGCAGGGTGCCGGAACAGGGTCCCGATTGACTTTTGGTGGCTACAGAGGCTTGCGGCGGCGGAACTCCCGATCTATCTTCGTTATCGATGTTTTTAGGGTATATGGGATTATATAGGTGAAAGAAGTCGGTCGGGGGGTGCTCGAGGGGCCAGGAGACAGGGGCGCGCCCTATAGGGGGGGCTCCTATCTCCTGGCCTCCTCGAAGCTTCTCTGACCTGGACTCCAAGTCTCCTGGATCATATTTGTTCCAAAAATCACGCTCCCGAAGGTTTCATTCCATTTGTACTCCGTTTGATATTCCTTTTCTTCGAAACACTGAAATAGGCCAGAAAACAACAATATGGGTTGGGCCTCCGGTTAGTAGGTTAGTCCCAAAAGTAATATAAAAGTGTATAATAAAGCCCATAATCATCCAAAACAGATAATATAGTAGCATGAATGATTCATAAATTATAGATACGTTGGAGACATATCAATATCGTCGTGGTGCTCCTCTCCGTGTCTGGGTTCCGGGTGAAAACCTTTATGTTGGAGATATGCCCTAGAGCCAATAATATTGTATTAGTATATTTCCATATTCATAATTAAGTGTTTATATTTCTTGTTACAACTGCTATAATCCTGGAATATGCAATTCAGTAGAAAACTCATATACATGTGTGAAATAATAAATGGATAAAATAAAGGTTCCTAGTCCCGCTATAAGAGTAGCTCAAGTGTTGTCGGTGATAATGTTTTTCAGATCTTGGGATATCGTTAAGTGTAACACAATCCAAAAACAACGTTGATATTATGACATTGGAAGAACGATCATATTGAATCGGCCCAAACTTGTTTGTTATGAATTGACATAATATCGTTTGTAATCAATTGTAATAACACAGAGTGTTAACATGTGATTTTTCTACTTAGACAATGAGAGTATCGTAGTCACTTCTTACCGTACGATGGACTTTGGGGTTGCTCAAATGTCACATGTAATACGGTGATCATAATGACAACTTATAGGTTCATCAAAAAGTTTGATAAGTGACTATATAGCTTGAGAGTGAGGTTTGTTCCTCCGACAATGGGGAGATATTCTTAGGGCCCATTCGGTATGACGTCATCCATCGTCACCTGGCCAGACACAGGTGACTTTGTCATGGGGATGCCGGAACACAATAACGAGAAAGAAGAACAAAACTGGTCGAGGATAATGCCGCAGTGAGCATGTGATGACTCAGGAGGATACCGATGCATCCCGGGTTTTGTGAAGTATCGCAAAGCAAATGGAACATCACATGATAACCAAAGGTTCACTCAAATATCACTCGTGTGCTCGTAGGGATTGATATGGACGTCCATGGTTCCACTGTGAGTCATTGAATGAAGGGGTTTCATTCATGTCTGTGAGTTACCGAACCTACGATGTCACAAGCTTAAGGTAGTCATGATCTGCCGAGTGTTAGTAGGATGGGAGTGATGAGAAAAAAAATTTGGAATCGTTTCATTAATATTCGAAATAGTTCCGAGAGGGTTCGAAAGCGTTCCGGGCTCACCGAATGGTTTCGGAGAGTATTGGGTAATACCGTGTATTAAGATAACTAATATATAGGTGTAAAATGGTTTGGGGGCTGTTAAATTATATATAAAGGGTATGAAAAATATTTAGAACACTTTTATATCTATTTTAGTAGAAACGGGACTTAAAAGTCCAAATAGGAGAAGGAAACTTGGGCCAAGTGGAGATTCCCACCACCCCCGCCACCCTTATGGAAGGGGAAGACCGAATTGGACTAGGGGAGGAGTTGGACTCCTCCCCCCTGGCCGGCACCCTAAGGACTCTCCTTCCCTCCTTAGTCGCTGCTCTCTCCCTCTCCTCTAACCTATATATACTAGGGGGTTTTGCTCTACTGAGACACATAAGTTTTTGAGCCTCCTCTAG